AAATTCGCTCATTAGATTTTCCTGTAAACTTGCACTCAGCTTACTATAATTAATCATTACTATTTGAAACTTATTTGACCAAATTTTAACAGAGGGGTTTTTAGATAATCAATAATATGATTGTACTGTAATTATTAAATGTGTCACAAAATTCGTCTGCTCAACTTCCATTTTAAAGTAATTATTATCGAAAGTTCGATAAAAGTAAAAAATCTGCCTAATATAACAAAATTTTAATGACTAGATTTTGAGAAATTGTTTTCTGTATTCCATTGCTTTTTTCGCCGCCATGTTTGTTTGTCTAGTTTAAGACACGCGAGTTTGATACCACTGACCGCCAGCAAAACTGTGTTCAGCCACCTTAATTGGTCTGCCTGATACTAGTATTGCAAAGCAATGTATTTTACTTTCAAGTCAACTAGCAAACAATGGAAAATCGTCTTTCATGTTGTCATTTCATGAAATTATGAAACTGCATTGTAGCACTTCTAATAATAAATTACAGGTCTCTCATATTCTTGTACAGCCAAAAATGTTTACCTCGAAGCTGCCTATAATAAAACCAGCTATCATAGATGACTTCAAAAAGTATCAAATGAAAATGTTGCGATCTTACAAAAATTGAATTTCTATTCCACTTTTAAGACTGATGTTAGCAGATCAGAGTATTTAGACCCTACTAAAAAAGAAAAACACCGCCGGGCAGTAGCAAAGTTACGATTAAGTAATAGTAAAGAATTGAGACTGATAGATATCATCTTCCTAAAGTCCTTGAGAATCTTAGAATGTGCCAGTTGTGCTGGTCGAATAAAGTAGAGAATGATTTTCATTTTCTATTGGAATGTAATTTATACAGCAATTAAGAAAACATTAATTTTTTTCAAGGCGTGGAAGCCAAGTACTCCAAATTCGTAGATTTGAACAAATCGGAAAAAGTATATTTCTTTTTAACAATATCGATCCATATGTTTGTAAAAAATTCCAAATTAATGCGGACAATACATATATCCCTGACTAGTGCATTTCAGTGTGAGTATTGTCAATGTTTTACATTCAAAACATGCCCTAAATTCAAACTAAAATGTACTAGTCATAGAGGTATGTATAATGCGCATTATTTTGGAAAAATTAGTATAACGTCAAAACAGTGAATGTTTTAACGCACATTTTTGACGGGTTCGTAGGATAGGTTTGTCTTGAAATTTAAACGATGTTGTAGTGAATCAACCTCAATTAAAGTTTCAGACCTTATTATATACATTATGAAGATTATGCGAAGAGATTCTAAAAATATTCGTTCGAGTCGTTTTAGAGATGTACAAAAAGCGTTGAAAGTCCAAACTTTGAGTGAAGTTGCACTTATACAGGTGGTGAGAAAACGGGTTAGTTTTTAAGATCGCAAGATCGAAAATTCACCAAAATTTCCCAGCTTCAAAATTTGATATTAAGTAGCATTCTGACGCTACTTAAGAATAACACGAGTCATTTATAACGTTTTTATTAAATAATCTATCACGGCTATTGAAAATTTAAGGTTTGAAATATAAAAGCATGAACTAAGATTTCAGTGTCTTTTTGTGAGAGACCGTCTCTTATTTTAGCTATATTTCTAAGATGAAGAAAACAAGTTTTACATATGGTAGTGACGTGTTCGACAAGAGTAAGTGTAATAGTTCTTGATCGAAGACGACTCCGATGTTCCTAGCAGAACTCACGGGCATTATTCAACTTAAAGAGAACTTATTTCATGAAAAAAAGTATGGGAAATAGAGGTTATTAATTATTACATTTAATTAACTGACCCTCTATTTATTTGGTTATTTTAATATCAGTAAAATTATACTTGTAATAGTTTAAAAGCAATACCTTTTCTGTATATCAGTGGGAATACTAATAAAGTGTTATGTTATGTTAGATTCGAGGTAAACTGAGCTGACTAAATTAGTGCGACTGTGAAGCATGGAGTTCGAGGTTAGCTTTCCTGAAATCGATATTACCTACATCACTCTCTCAAAAAAGATATGGCTTTGTACAACTTTCATGAATGTTATTAAAATGACCTCGACGAAACGCTCTCTTTATGTAAACTACCCCCCAAAGCCAATCAAGATTTTGACTATTCGTTTAGTTCGAACTTGTGAAATGGCTCAAAAAGCTTTCCTCAGGATCTGTATTTCCCAGTCTCTGTTAGGATTTTTCTACTTTTGACGTAAAAAATGGAACAAAAAAGCTCCTAAAGATATTTTTAAAAGCTACACCAACTGAAAAATCCTGTGATGCATAGTGTCGCACGTTAAAATGAATTTCTTTAGCTTGCGTGGGAAGGCGTTTGAAGAGGAAAGGAAAGGGGGGATTAATTGCAAATTTTTCACGACTGCATTGTCTTCCGATTCATTGAAGAGACCTGAGCACAAAGAAAATCAAACTAAATAATAGAAAGACCAGAAAGCCGCGGAGTCATATAACAATTTTAATACAGTCGAACGTCCATATGCGACCACCTCTGGTAAGCGACCACCTCCTTTAACACCTCCTCCAAAACATCAAAATTTTCCCAGTCGAAGCATTACAGTTGGAACCGCTAGTAAACGACCACCTGTAAGCGACCGCGAACACTTTTTGGGCCTGACAGTTGAGGATTTTCCATTGTTTTTAACCTCTTGTAAGCGACCACTTGGCGCATTCTCTGATCTCTTTTGTTTCGCTGTGTGCACTATGTTACTTAAAATATACGAAGAACTTTAGTGAGAACATGGAACTACACATATCCTAACTTAGACATTGCGTGCAATAAATTATCCTCTATAAAGTAGATCTGCCTGGACCTCTTCTCGGAAGAGACCCTCGATTCTTGTAAACGATCACCTCTCGTAAGCGACCACTCAGTCTTTACATTTTGGGTGGTCGCTTACGGGAGGTTCGACTGTATATCCAACGTAGCCTACTATAACGTAATTATTAAGAGCAAACAGTACATTCTTTAAGGACGCGATAAATTCGAGAAGAGCCAGTATTCAAATCAGGGTGCTAATGATTTCTGACAATTCAGTCGAGGTAGTATGTCTATGATTAACATAATTAATTTCTAGTCAATCGTCTTTTTAATTACGCTCTGAAACTGAACGCAATAGAGGATGAAACAATAGTGTAGCTGCAGGCTTTCCCTTCCCTTCTTCCTAGCATCCTGCGACGCAGGCGAAACTTTATCGTTGACAAGCTCTTGTAGATCTTTTTTTGATAGTACAAAGGACTCCACCTTTAGGACGCATTGTCATTTTCTCCTCGCGCTGCAGGGTTTGCCCAGCTACCAGCTCAAACTTAAATTTCCGAAAGAGTTGTGCCATCAAAATGGAAGCGTTGATGCTTGAGAAATCCTTTCCAATACACGTTCTTGGTCCACAGGAAAAAGGAAAGTATACAAAGTTGGAGATCTTGTTTTCACTGTTATTTTCGCCCAAAAACCTGTCAGGATTAAAGCATTCAGGATCGCACCAATTTTCTGGTAAGTGATGAGCAACATAGATGGAGAAATCAATAATTGCCCCTTTGGGAATCTGAAATGAGCCAAATTTCTCTGGTTTTGTTGATGTGCGCAACATTCCACCGGCTGGTGGGTGCTTTCGAAGACTCTCCTTGAGTGTTTGCTTAACATACTGTAGTTTTGAAATGTCATCATATTCAACAGTCTCTTTGTTTCCAAGAACATGGTCAACTTCTTGAAAAATACTAAAAATGTAAATCACAAAAATAATAAATTGTTACATTATTATTACACCGTTACTGTAGCCTCAGCAAATAAAATTACACAGTCAATAATTCCAGTTAGGTATGTGCTGATATTCTATTAAGCTAGCCATCAAGTCTCTTTGGAATTCCATCATTCTGTTTCTGAAAGCAAAGGGGGTATCAGTGACATCTTGCATAAGAAGAAAAACTGATTTGAGTATGTTGAGAAGTGGCCGAGTGCTTAGAGCGCTGAACTTTGCTGGACTTATAATTCGGAGGCCCCAAGTTCAAGTCCCGCCCTAAACGCCGGCTGGATTTGTTCTTGGCAGCTGTCCCTAGTTCAAATCCTCGGCCAACCGGCTGGGATTTTTAACCTTGTTATGTTTCATTTAAATTATTTGTTCCATTATCCCTGAAAAGCCCCACGAGGGGAGAGGATAATTAAGGTATCATTATTATTACTGGAATATTATGGGACAAAAAATATGGGATTGCAGGGACTGTTCACAGTCCCCTCTTTTTTTCGTAAGATCGTCGAGATATAGCGCGTCTTACCGTCAATGGCAGCTATCTTGATTTTCAAATGTACTGAGGGGGTGGGCGTCGGGGATTATAGCTGACACTCATGCAAGATGACAGCCCGTAACGCAAAGCCCTCGATCTCGACCATCTTACGGAAAAATAGAGGACTGTGAACAGTCTAGGGATTGCATGAGCTGCATAATGGTCAAAGTAAATCAAACGAAGGTCACGCTTTTGCAACAAAATATGGCAAATAGGGGGAAAGAAAAGCTGTTATCACGGCTGTTTTAATTATTTGTTTTTTCCATGTCAAGTTGTTGTCAATGAGTACTGCCAGGTGATGGTTTTTGCGTTCCAGCGGAATGAATTTATTAGAAGAATTGTAGAAAAGTTTTAGATTTACTTTGTAGCTAGGCCTTTTGTGATAACAGTGAAAAATACTAAAGTGGCATTTTTCGACGAAAAGCTATTTATTTGCAATTTACGCACTTATATACGATTAGAAGTTCACAATTAACGATAGCTATTAGCCATTTCGGTTGGCGATTGGTATCAAGCTCAGTTTAACGCAACAATTTTGGATATCATTCTCATAAAGTGGTAACTAAAGAAATGGTCCTTGCACCGACCCGTGAGGAAACCGCCAGTAACGTTACCGACTTTTCTGATATGCCATCCCAACATGAGTTGTCTGGGTGCGGCCCGTCAGATACCATGAAAACCACTCATTTACAGCGCCGCTAAAACCGTGGTGCCTTAATTTTTCTAATAATACAGAGTGATTGTAAATTGCAAATATCATATTACCCATTCCCCTCGAGGCTTTTCAAGGATAATTTAGAACACAGGTTGTTTATGGCGCAGTTTAATTCATAAAAGCGAGAAACCACCACACCAGGAACTACATCTCATACTCTATACGAAAGTCTAACCGTTTGCAAATGACACTACGAAGGCAGTACTTTCTTCTCAGTAATTCAAAGACCCTAAATGTTGGTCCGGCGAGGGTTTCTATCCGGGGCCTCTCGCTCGGCAGACCAGCGCTAATCCAGCTGCACTGACCGGGCGGTGAACCGACCATATCGAATAACTTAAGTCGATGTATAGTGAGTGGGGTGGAGTGCTTATCATGAAAGCCATACTGTGATATAATACGCCTTGCTTATCCAAAAATCTTTTCAGACGGTTATATAAAACAAAGACGAGATATTGGCCTCTAATTGAAAGGGATGGTCTCGTTTCCGTTGAAGTAGTTAGGATTTTAGAAGGATAGATGGCAGCCAGTTTCGACTGATTTGGTTCATTATGACGGATAGAGGATAACTTATAATAGCTAGCTACAAGGTGTCTTAAAACTTCTTCCCTCTTATTTCATGCGCTATAACTTTTGATCGAAACTTTATTTTTACATTCAATTTTTAAAAGATATTAATTCCTCTATTAAATACATGCGTTCAGCATGTCAGTCTAGCATGACCCTTTTATTTCTTTTATGTTTTGGTTTTACTTTCTGTAGCCGTTGCGGCAAAGGCTGGAATAAATCATGTAGCGTGTTAAACGCCAGATTATCCATTTTGAGCTTGGTATGCAAGGGTCACTTCGAACCTCAAACAATATCCGGCCCGGCTTTTTTGCACTGAAATGTTTGTGTACTTCGTTACAAATTTGACACGAGCTGAACGTTGTTTGGCGGACTAAACAGAGGTTTTTTCGTTAGGCTATCGCAATAAAATGTTTCGTTTCCCATCGCCCGACCGACCCATTTTTTTCGAAAAGTAAAAAAAAAAAACCAAAAAAAACAAAAATTCCAGATTAACTACAGTGTAGTCAAAGAAACTAGTCAGAGAAGCAAGTACGAGCACACGATCTTGTTTTATTAACAACAATTGGGATGATGTGATGTCCTTGTCTTTAATTAACATCAATACTACGTTTTTTAAAGGCTGTTTAGACATTTGATAGTCGAAAAGACGTTTCGAGTTGACTTTGTAACCAGGCTTTCTTACTTAGGATCCCAGCATTCTCTGGAACCTAGACCCCTTCAAGTGTTCATTCTTTTTTTTTCTTTTGCCCGACCGACCCACCATCACAAGAGACAGGGCGATGGGAAACGAAACATTTTATTGGGATGGCCTTATATTAGAGGCCTCCGGCCTTCGCATTTGATGAACCTGCTCCAGACTAAGTTAGCTAAAAGTTGTGAAAGCTATCTCGTCGAATTTTCTCTTTTCGGTACCGGCCTTGCCTTCTTTAAAACTATTTTAGATGCTTTACTCAGAACTTTCGGTCTTCCTCTTCTTTTCTTATCTTCAAAACTCTCATTTCTCCATTACCATCTCACAACCATCATTAGAATTTTCAAGTTTTTTGGCAATTTTTTGACAAGCCAATGATCGAAGTATGCATGCTTATGCTCTCACGTAGCGAAGCGTTTTTGTGTTGAGAGGGTTTATCTTTCATGTTAATAATCACAAAAAAAAACCAAAAACAAAAACGAAAGTTCGATCAATTCGGGCTAAAAATAAAAAAAAAATGTGGCGGGAAAATATACACGGACGCGCGCAACTTTGGCGCGAAAATACACGAATCGAATAATTCGAGTCAAAAGATGGCCGAGTAAGTATGAAATATTTGATTAGATTTAAACACAATTTTAGTTAACACGATTTACTAACCAAGTCCAGTCATATTGCATTGCAAGTAGTAGAACTAACTTTTGGGACACCCTGTAGTCGTAAGATGCGAATCAGGTACTCACAACTTTCGGATAGGTTTCATGTTATTCAGAGCCAATCAAAATCCAAGTAGTTAATGAAGGCAGATCGAGTCATAGTAGACGGTCTGAATGGGGTTTAGTGCTTAGTGTTATTTGCCCAAAATGTTTAATGTTCGCTGTTAAATTGGCCAATTTTTTAATGTTGTCTGTTTCCGAAGAAAATACTGTTAAGTGTTTGGAAGGTTCTTCGGACATCTTTGGCAATGGTCGGACCTCTTCGCAAGTCTTCGGAAATCTTCAACAGTCTTTGGGAATCGTCGGTAGCCTTCGGAAATCTTCTGAAATAACCCGGGATTGTCGTAAAATGGCCGAAACCTCCTTGATATACTAAACAAAATAATATTGGCCTTTTTGGAGCCGTTTTTGCTTCTTTCTGGAAAAAATTAGTTCGTACGTTCTCGGGTAAGAAAACCGATTTTTAATTGAGGCACGATGAAAGCCACCAGAAAATTTAGGATTGAGTGTTCAGGGATTGAAAAGTTAGTCAGAAAACGTTGCAACGAAAGGCTGGTTTCCGTTAGCGACGAAGTCGGAGTTGGAGTCGTAATCAGAAGCGTAGAACTTTAGGATCTAGTGAAAACAGCGTTCTGATACTTCTGATTCCGCTCAAGACTCTGGGACGTCGAATTCGCAAGTAGAAGCGGAAGGACTAAACCAATCACAAAGCGAAGGAACGTGCTTTGTCATTGGTTTATCCCTCCGCTTCTGCTTCCTACTAAGACAGTGTGGTTTTCTTTAGATCATAAGCGAAACGTAAGCGATGGAGTCCTAAGCGCAGTCGGAAGAAAAAGAAAACGTTCTGATTCTTCTGACTCCGATTCAGTCGGACTTTTGACTCCGCTTACGACTCCGATTTTTGATTTTCACTAGGTCATAAGCACTCTTACGACTCCGCTTACGACTCCGACTCCGGTGAAAACCATTCTTAAAACAACAATGTGACTTAATAAGTACCTGTTTTCAATTCTTCCATTTAAAAGGATTTCTAGCAAAGCAAAGCTGAGTTGATTGGCTGTTGTGTCTTGACCTGTGAATAATAAAATATTCAAACCATACATCTTTTTTTCTCAAGTTATTGAACAATAACCCAACACTTGCGACAAGTCGACTGCGCGAGCGAATGCGAGACACCTAACCTGTAGAAACCAGAAAAGGGCTTTGAGAAAGCCTACAACAACCCGAACGTCTTCTCAAATACAAACTCATGCACTTTTCTAATCATGCTCTCTTCCTTGGCTGCGTTTTTTATGAATGCATTCGTTACGAATTCATATACTGTATGCATTCATGATTGCATATTTGTTTGTGTGTATTTATTTATTTTTAAGGACCCCCTCCCCCACAAGAATCTTCATCTTTGAAGGAGGGAGTTTACTGCGGGAGCCATTAATTCTCAATCAGATTTCGTAGTATATTTACCTGCTACAAAAAAAGTAATAAATTCATCCACAAGATCCTCCATGCTTACATCACCGTCCAACTGACTTGCTTGTAAAATCATCCCCATAATATCATTAGGATGTGGCTGACAACTCTCTTGCATGGCTTCTCTGCGTCGTTCTATACTTTCTCTAGCAAGATTTCTTAAAAAAGATAGTGACTTTTGCACGTTCTTTTGATATGAATGTTTATAAAATGGAAGGGATAGAAATGGATCTAAGTAACTTTCTTCGTAACCTTCCAGGCACTTATAAAGACAATTTGGAACACTACTGTTATCTTCTAAGCACTTGAGTTCCAAATTAAATGCAACCTACAAATTAAATCAAGAAAAAAAAATAGTTTAAACGCTTGTTAAAAATAACTTAATTGTAAAGTTCGAGTTGATACTGCAGTTGAAACTTTAGTTGCGAAACAGTTTTTGACTTGTGAACTAGTCAAATGCACAGATTATTTATAATTTAGTGTAATTCTCAAAATTAGCGTTTATTTTTTAATATGGCTGAAATGGAAGAATGGCCCTCTTGTATATTTGAACGTGTACTATGAGTATTAACTTCCTTTTACCCGCTTAGGTCAGCAAGCTAGTAACCTAGTTTCTTGGCCTTTGCTTAAGGAAGGACTCGGTCAACCGGCAAGAGTTTGCCATAAGATTTTTCTATGTTTAGTCTGCAGAAACCTCATTGTACAGTGCAAGAATCTCCACACAAGAGACTTTATGTGAAGAATCTTACAAATTCATTGGTTTCCTGGTATTTTAAAAAAAATTGGCTTTAATTATTTTGATCGCTTCACATTCCTCGTCATCTTTGATCTACCATTTTAGCTTAGATAGCTCATCAGGTGCCAAAGATTCATAACCCTATTCATTCCGATCTTCCACCATTCCATGTTTTAGGGTTACCCTTCTTTGTAGGATTATAGTTGAACCTCCACGCGGCCAGTAATCAAAGTCCCGAAGTAACTGAAAGTTTATTAAACTTCTATCAAGCGGCGTTTTTGTTTCTGCGCGGTAGGTTTTTAACAAATTTCCTCCACGATGTTTTCTTTTGTGAGTGTAAATTTCGAGTCCTGAAGAGAACCATTCCATTTATCCAAAGAGAGAATTGTGGTTCTGAAAAAGTGTGTTATTTTTCATTACTATGTCTATTTTTTAGAAATTGGAAACTGATAGGGTTCAAAGAATTGGATGGAAATTGGAGTTTTTCTCTTGAGTCTGGAATGAAATAAGAATCAGTTTTGGTTCCCTGGCTGAAGTACCGTTACGGAATTACCAAAGGAGGATTTTGCATATATCCCAGCATGCTTTGGTGCAATTTCGTTACGCTTGTTATGAAAATGGCGGGTCGAAGGCGGTCGTCTTTCCGTTAATGAGTGATTTTTAGCCTGCCATTTTGCCAACTTTGGCGTACTCCAGGTAAGTGATTTTACCATTTTTTATGAATTTTTCTTTCAAGTTTTCGTTAGTTTTATTTTTTCGGCGCTTTATGGTCGTCAAGCGTGAAGAGTTCAATGAAACAATAGAGTGTTTTTTCAATAGCGCGCCTTTGTGTTTGTGTTTACAGTCGAGTGGTTCCTATCTTTATTAATTTGCATAATGTTTAATGCAAATATAAATCTCAACGGTAGTTCCATTTCAGAAAGTGAAGGTTGAATATTCAGAAAACGGGTCTTGACCTCTTTTGACCTCTCTAGTTTTAACCGTAGACGACCAAGAAAAGCGTGCAAATTTTGGTCTGTTAAGAATTGACGGTGCTTTTGTGTGATGCAAATTCCGCATGATCTTGTTCCTTTTCCACGTGCTTTGTTTTATGGATTTGCAATAGACATATTTGTATGTATCGTTAGGTTTATTTTGGATTCCTTTTGGTATTATTTGAGATCTAAATCACTAGAAATATTCATCCGACGTCCTGAATTGTTCCTTTTAGGTTTGTTTGTTATGGAGGAGGGAAGTCTAAAACGTAGACATGTACCTACGTTCGACTCTCCGGGTAAACCCGAGAGCAAGCGCCGATCTCATGAATCGTCATGGAACACAGATACACCTAGAGCAAGGCGCTCCATCACTTGACTTCACGTCGATACAACAAGGCGATTTTACTCCAGTTAATTTGGACATCACATCATCCGAGTCGGGCAACATTACTAGTCTTCGTTCCGACAAATCCCACATGAACGAAAAGTGGCCGTAAACAAGCTTGACCTTCAAAAGTGGAAAGCTTTTGACTGTAAGCTCGAATCGGCTTTCCAGATCTATACAATGAAGCCATACGTAGCGATTATCTTTGAATAGCTTCACGTCGCACGGCCTTCTCTCCACGGCGTCCATCTTGAACTAACAGTATCACGTGACGAATAGAGTTTGATAATATAGTCCAAACGCAAAGCATGATGGGATATATGCAAACTCCTCCTTTGGAATTACCCAAGTAGTGAATTGGTCAGCGCCATTACACAGCGGAATTCGTTTGACACCACTCCCCAGCAATGCACCATTACCAGTAAGTCTTCTTCCAAAGCTGTATATCAGGTGCAATATGGCCCCTATTACGCTGTCAAGCAAAATTTGCTTCAGTCACTTAATTTGTTCATTTGACCCCTTATTTCCGCAAATATCATTACCTGACACTGCTCTGTCTGAAAGTTAACATGATCTTTACAGTAGAATGAATGAACAACTTAAGCGGTTGAAAAAGAACCTGAAAAATTTCAGGCTTGTCCGGGAATGAAACCCTGACCTATGCGTCACCGCTTAGGTTTTTCTTTCTACTGTAAAGTCTGTGATGATCAAGCTCACTTTCAAATCTTTACCCGCACAGCAGTTCAAAATATGACTCATTTTATATCAATTCAAATCTAAGTCTTTCACTCACTTTTCCAATGACATCTAAAGTAGTTTTCTGAAATTCATCAGCCATGTCAACAACAGTCTTTCCATCAGCAATGTCCATTAATTTGGTAACCAAGGAACTGGCTACAGAGTTAAATTGTGGAACCAGACCTTTCAAGTAGCCCCGATGAAATGCTGGGCTTAACAAACGTTTTTGATGTCTCCATTTATCGTGGTCAACTTGAGTAAATAAACCAGAGCCTAAGAATCTATACCTCCCAAACAAATAAGCTATACTGTTATACATTGAAGGTGCCTTTGGAAGATTCAAGGTCACAATGCCATATTTTATGAATTCAGGACTGGATATTACCACAAGTGGTGAAAAAAAGTACCACCAAACAAACACTGGCCCATACGTGAGAGCATGATCAAGCAGTATTTCACACAACAGTCGCCCCTTGTTATCTGTAAGCTCTGAAGCATTGCCATAGAAGAAACTTGTCCGTTTAGGTCCTGGAATGTGGTTGTAATGCCGATGTCGATTCCACAAAAGAAGCACACAAATCGAGGCAGCAAAGAGTAACACAACCGAGAAAATGGCCAGGATGGTTGCCAAGAGGTACATTAAATTTAAAAATATTGACATCATGATATAAATGGGGATAACTGAAGGTATGTATATGTTAAACTGCAAGAACTGCGTCAAGGTGTTCTATTGTCCGCTCTCAGATTCTAGTGTTTAATGCTGCAGAGCAAGAGAAAAGAACATTTTCACCATTAGTAAAATACAGTGTTGACAAGATGTATTTCGTGCAAATGCATTTTGTGGGATTCACAACTGATTTTACGGATTCTTCTTACGACACCGTTTGGCGCTCGTGAGTTGGAGTTTTGAGATCCTAACGTGTATTCTACAAATCGTTTGACAACTTTGATTGATTAAATATCGTATCGAAATCAAGAATATTTTGACACAGTGGAGTTGTGTTATTCCAAAAGTGGCGCTTCTTCGCTTTGGTTCCGTGATAAATCACGCTTGGCCGAATATTAAACTTTTGCATGCACGTTAAAATTCATACAACCCCTGTTTATTATATCTTGGATGTTTTTATATACTTATATATCTTGGATGTTTTTATCTAGTAATTTACCCAGACTCTTCGATTTTTCTGGTTATTAAACAGGTATTCTTTTAACTGCTGTGTGATTGTTTTTTGTTGCCGTTTTGTCTTTCTAAATAGACAACGTCGGTTTTTCAATCATAGAACTCGGGATATGGAGAAGAAATTCTGGTTTGTGATTCACCAACAAATGAACATACTCGGCCGAGTTGATTCACTCGACCTTTTACTGACAGCCAGTTAGTACGTCTATTTTCTGGTAATCAATTCACATCCTTCTTTTCATGAAGGAATAAGATGTATTTAAAACAACCAGCAGCCGATTGCTGAAACAAGGCATGTTTATCACACGTACTTTTTCGGTTTGCTACGCACCGACTATCGTGGATCCTATAAATTCAACGAACTTTAACGCAATGTACAAAAAAAAGAGTGAGAATTAGATTTAAGATTTATGACAACGCTGGTAGCAGGGTCTATCTCGGATTAGGAGGGGGTTACTCTGTGCCGTTTCCTGCTCTCGGACCCCCCAGATTCCGTTGCTTTTAACCTCCTTGGCTACGGTTTCCTGATTAGGGCTTTCAACAAGTTGCTCGGTAACAGCTGTTTGGCAGTTTCTCGTATTTCGGGCAACGTTTTTCGCGAGATTGCTCTAAAGAGGGTATATAATTTTGTGCGAGTCTGCCCTAATTATAAACAGGATGAAATTTGTTTGTACTCCAAATATTCAAAAGCAAATACTAAAACGTCTATATAATAACGTGGATTTGCTTAACAGGATAACAAAATTGTGGTCCCAAACAGGGTATGTAGTTTATGATTTTCTGTCCTAAACAGGACCCTCAGCGCCTCCCCCAGGAAAAAGACGTTCCATGCAAACACCATACCATTTAAACATGACAGCCTCGTGTAAAAGAAAAGGACGGTCAAAAGTGTGGCTAATCAGAAATAGCCCTTTTCAAACATACCATAATACTCTTTGCTGTCCCTCCAAAATTTTGCATTAGCATTCTTACAATTGCCCCAAGAGAAATTGAAAACAATGCTTACGCAAAATTTTGGAGGGACAACAAAGAGTATTATGGTATGTTTGAAAATGGCCTATTAAGTTATTTTAACGGTAGAGAATAGAGTCTGACAAATTACGCCTTAATAATTTTGGGCGCAAGAGTATATCTCGAGCGTCAGGCATGCCTCTTAATGCTAATGTTATTTTTTTATAATTTAGCAGAATCAGATGTGTTGTTATGCAGTTTTCACAATACAGGGCCTAGGATTAAAATTTGGTTCCACTTTTTGTAATTTACCTTCGTGTGTATTGCTTAGAGTAACATTTTGAGTTATCATAACTGTATCTCAGAGTAAAGTCTCAACAATATTCTGTTACCTTGAGTTACATGTTCGTAGACAAGAAAACCGTGGCTTAATCTTGGGTTAAACTTAACCATCTTTCGAGGAACCGGGCCTGATCAAATTGCTCTCAACACGAAAACAATGTGTTTAGGAAAACAATTTTAGCAGAAATAGAGAGAGCTCATAAAAATTAACTAGTGAATTTTAATTTTCAGGCTTACACGTCTTAGATCTTAAAAGAAGCGACAGCTACTGCCGCCGAAAAACCAGAAGGATTTGTATGGGACGAACAGCTCTTGCCACTCAGTCACGGTTCAGTGGTCTTCCATACAAATCCTTGTATATTTTGAAACGTTCAAACCGTCGTTAAATCTCTCCCTGACGCATTACACGTCTGAAATTTCCTGTTTTTATTAGTGCGTTTCTATTTTTCTAGTATTTCTCTATAATAGAGCGCTCTTCTCTTTAAAAAAAAGGTTTGATAATAGAAATTTTAACTGAGTAACAAGGTTTATGTCATCTCCATAACTGACCTCCTCCTCGTGGCCTCTTCAAAACCTGCACAAAATCACTCCATTGACGAGAACTGGCATGAAAATTAACGTTGTCGCTAATATAAAAATTAATTAGAATTAATTATGAAAATTATGTAACTGTAAGTCTAGGTTTTTTTAAATCTTTTATGGTCACGTGACTAACAAATGCAAAAGCAAAGCTTTTCAGATTTCAATGTGCTCAGGGGACAACAATTTGACTTTTGAGGGGGGTATGGGTGATTTCAGAACGGAAAGACTGATTTCCGGGCAAAATAATTCTTGCCATAAAATTCCTGGTAAGAAAATTCCTGCCCTGAAAAAAATATCTTTCATGGCGTATTGTACTGGAAAAAAATTCTTACACCGTTGTATGTCAGGAAAAAATTCTATCACCAGAGGTTTGTGAAAATTAAAATTCTCCCTTAAACCAAATCACCTATACCACTCCTCAAAAATCAAATGGTCGGCCCGTTAATTAATACAGAAGATTTTGTATGCTACTGTTAAACTAATTTTCCTACCCAAGGCGCTAGCTAGAATGTTCAAAGTTTATGAAATCGTGGACATTACGGAATTGAATTTCTTGACGACCCTTAAAGACTCGAGAATTTTGGCATAGTCGTAGACCTTATGACCTTAAGCCAAGCTTCCAGAAGCAATTAGATGATTTTCTCTCAAACGCTATAAACAATGTGCTTAGTTAAATCCAGCGGATAATTAGGAGCGTGATACCAGAGTTCATGGATGACGCCGAAAAGCATAATACTAGACCGTCAGACCGGCGGATTAAGAAGTGCAACGCACGAGGTTCTGCCATTGAACAAAGCTATGAGAAAAAAGGGCAGGTGACTGGGACATAACCGATAAAACAGATACTGTTACAAAGGGTGATACAAAAGGTAAGACTAGGACTTGCCTGACAAAAATCTCTCCGCGCAGATGTAATCGCCGGAATGGAAGAGCAAGAGGGAGTGAAAGGGGGAAAGGCGTGTGGTTTTATATGGCACTCTTTTAGGACTATGATAGTGATTGGCTCTCTGAAGGGGATAGATTGTCACGAGTCGCATGATTCACTATGCGATGAGTGTATAGTATCGACATAAGTGACATTAAGCCTTGGCATAGTGTTTGATTTCAAAACAATGTCTACATTTCAAAATAATATTTCTAGTTTGGAAGTAGAGTTTGAAAGTTCCGGTCTCTGACTTGATCTCTCACTCACTAAACGATTTTATAAAGGCCTGTACGGTAAATAACAGATCTAGGTTTTTGTTAGTTACGCGTAATGCGAGAAGTGCGTGGGGCATAAATCCGACTGAATAATGTCAAGTAATACGGGCAACGTTTTTGTTCAAATAACTTGTTGCGTAACCGTTGTTGCATAGGTTCAATTACAGTTCTGTTGCCCGGTATCCGGCCACTTAAAAAAAACCTCAATTTTTGAGGCGCCCTTTTCAGTTCTCGGTAAACGAAGTATTTAGGATGAAAGCTGAACATTTCAGCTTTAAGATGAACGTTTTGGCGAGTTTACAGGTTGCGAAACAGGTGCAGAAGGCGCCGTTCTGTCCAGGTGAGTAGACGTTTCAAGGGTAATATTTACGCTGTTTACTGCGCAGCTAGCCTGCGAAGCAAAACTAGTGCTGTTCACAAATGGGTTGGTAATATGTGATATTTTTAAAGAAACTGTTTTATATTTAAAGTGAAGATACTTACAGAAGTCAGGTTCTCAGAAAATTTATTAATTCTTCTTGAAATTAAATTCGCTTGGAATAAGGGAGGCCAGAAACATTCACGAACTATTGATGTCAGGTGCCCAGTATCCGGCCCGTTTTTTCTTTGCCGTACAAAAGCGATGAATTAGCGTGTACATAATCCGGATAGGATTTATTTCATATCTATAACTATAATTAAAGCTTAGGACCTATCATATAATCGTAAAATGTAATTCTACTCAACTCCTTCTGGAAATTTTTTTCACTCATTCGATCAGAGGCGACTTGATTTCGTGTGCACGACTTGTTTCGCGTGACTGCGTTTTTACTGGGCTGCCTGTGGCACAGCCCAGTTATAAAATGGGCTTGGTTTTTCCTTCTGGCACAAATCGCACTCGGGCGTGTTCAGCGTGTGTGCAAAAGTATGCGTAGAATAGATCACTGGGCTTCAGCAGAGTACATTCCGAGGAGCTCGAAGCGACTCAAAGCTATTAGCAATCTATCTTCGGTGGAAGTGTACGAATGCAAACATACGAATGTAAACGCTGTTGATGGTTAGCCCACAGTAATTCAAAACAAACAAAGTTCAGAAAAACTAGAGATACCGTGTGGCATGAAAGTCTTGCAA